TGAACATTTAGCTGTCAGAAAGAATTGCTCTCGTTGGATACCACATAATTTGACAATCGCTCAAAAAAAGGCTCGTGTCGATTGGTGTAAACAAATGCTCAAGAAATTCAATCGTGGTGTTTCAAAATCCGTGTATTTTATCGTCACTGGTGACGAATCATGGATCTACGCGTATGAGCCCGAAACTAAACAGCAGTCGACTGTATGGGTCTTTCAAAGTGAAGATAACCCAACAAAAGTTGTTCGAGCTCGAAGTGTTGCGAAGCAAATGGTCGCCCGTTTTTTCGCGATAAGTGGTCATGTGGCAACAGTTCCACTAGAGGCTCGTAAGACCGTCAATTCTGATTGGTACACCACCATTTGTTTGCCCGAAGTGTTTGATGAAATAAGAAAAAACAACCGTCGTCGCAAAATAATTCTTCATCATGATAATGCGAGCTCTCACACATCTCATCAAACAGTCGATTATTTGACCGGTCAAAACTCAAAAGATCGATTTAATGGGTCATCCGCCGTACAGTCCTGATTTGGCACCCAACGATTTCTTTTTATTCCCGAGCGTGAAGAATAAACTGCGTGGTCAACGATTTTCATCGCCCGAAGAAGCAGTTGATGCGTTCAAAACACACGTTTTGGAGATATCACTTTCGGAGTGGCATGAATGCTATGACAAATGGTTCGAGCGAATGCAAAAGTGTATTGATCATCATGGCGAATATTTTGAAAAACAATAAAACCATTTTCGATGAAACCCCATTGTCTTATATATGTTTTTGAAAAAACTTAAATAGTGACCCTCGTACTTAGTCTCAATTTTATCGATTCTGCTTTGAATAAATCTGAATTCTAAATTTAACTGACGTTAAGTATACTTCTGAATCAATTAAATTAATATCACTGTTTGGCATGTGCGTTTCATATTTCCGCACCATATTCTATGATTGGTATAACAAAGACGAAACAAAGACGTTTTATTGTTCATGGATCTAAAAAGTATCTGGTGAAATTTTTCAGATGGTTTTCAGTGAATTTATCGATTTATAATTTATAGTGTATTTAGGGGTTTTGCGGTTCGAAAATAAAGAGTATTATAGGAGTAAGACGAATTTTTCCACACGGTGGTAGATGCGTATTTTATTAAGCTAGCTAAAAATAATATTTGTTCGATTTTTCAAGCTTTTCAAGCGGCGTAATATGTGTGCGGAAAAGAAATAAAACACATTTCCATGCAAAATTTTCATCACCAAAAATGAAGGTTTTGTACCAAAGGTACGACAGACCTCCACAAATTAATCTCACTTGACGTTAGAATTCTAATATACTTTCAATGCAAAGCTAATGTGATTACTTTTTGGTATACACCCATTTGCAAATTGTGAGCAATGAATTGATATTTCAATGACTGAATTCGATCAATTTTGACCGTATAAACAATATCAATGCTGTTTGAAAGCGTTCTGGCCTAATTTCCGAGGTGAATGTATGTTTTCAACTCGCAATTTTATGAAGAACTAAAAGTGACATTCAATTGGTTTTAAATCATAAATGTCATACTGAAATCGATAGAATATCTTTTGGAGGCCGGCCACGGCCAACATGGCGGCCATATCGAAAAGTGCCGGAACAAAAAAGTCTTAGTTTTTTATGAACTTTAATCACAGAAAGTTTCAAAAAGATCAGACTCGAGTACGCAAAATCGCGCACAGACAGGCATTTTGATTTTTCATAGAGATTTATATGACATTTTTAAAATGCTGAATTTTTCGACAGATTTATCGATTTCAATTGTTCGTTTGAAAGTAATTGAGCTCTAGAATCAGAGTATCGATGTTTCAGGGGCCAACGACCTCATTTAGTGCCATCTATGGCCGTAGAACTGAATTTTGTCCCTTTTCTTGAAAGGACCATATGTTGAAGACAGGTGAACCGATTTTTAAACTTTGACATTTTTTCTTGATCTATGGCCCAAGGGCTTTACAACCGTACATCAACCGGGGCCAAACCCTTCTATGTCTGGATTTCGTATATTACGTTTATATATAGCGAGTTTGACTTTTCACTTTTTGTCACTCGCGCTAGAGTACTTTGGAACTTCGCCAAGTCAGATTTTGAATTACGTTGCTGGGAAAAAGTTATACTGTTAACAAATTTTTACGTCCACGGTACCACGCACGTACATTAATCTATCAATAAACGACTGATTTGTGTTGCTGACCCTGAAAACATCGGAAAAACACGTTTTTGAGGGATCTTAGTTTTTCAACCGATTCCAATACCTTAACCGATACACTCGGTGCGTGTGGACATTTTTGTTTTAAGGTGGCCCAGTGATGAATAATATAGAGCTGTACACAGAGAGAAATCTATTACGTTTTGTTACTACATTTTTGAAAAACGTCAAAACACAACCACTATTGTGTTTTTTCCCACTAATTTTTTTTATTCAATTGTCAATGTTTATGCTGCGTGCATGTATAGAAGGATCTATTATACAGTGGGAAAAAACACAACAGTGGTTGTGTTTTGACGTTTTTCAAAAATGTAGTAGTATATCTTAATGTTTTTCTCTCTGTGTAATTTACGGAGAGTTCTCAAATCATTTTGAAAGTAAATTTTGACATAGTAATTAACATAGTTAATTTTTTATTGTAGAGACATGTCGTTTGAAGGAGCCACATCGAATAATAAAATGCTGGATTCATTAAAACTGCAATTACGTGATGCTGAAATGAAGCGTGCAGATGCTGAACTTGCTCACCAGGTATGATACATTATTGTAAAAGCAATGAATAGAACCAAAAGTGTTATTGATAACAACATTTCAAAATTAACTACACAAAACGAAATAGTGAGTCACAATTATAACCAGTAAAGTACCCAAAGTGTTACTAAAAGTTTTTATGTCACCTATACAGATCGATATATTGTGCTGAAAATAATTTTGTGAAAATACAGGATGCCCTAATGAGGTAGTAAGGGCAGGGGAGTACCCCACAATGTCAAAATTTGGTCGGATAATAAATAATGTACTACAAAGTTGTTCAGAATGACGAGAGACCCCCAGGAAGGTCGAAAGTCATAGCCCCTTGACCCACGATTTTTTTCATTCGAAACCTCGAAATTCAGAGTCAGCATGCCAAACAACAACAACAACAATCATTCATAGACCGATTGTACCTTTCGGCGTGTGGTCTTTTACGAAACGACTAGACTCGAATTCCTCTTACAATTCCTCTCCAAACTTCCCTATCGAGAGCTAGGTCTTGAGTTTCTCTACACCAATCATGCCCTCTAACATCCAAATCACATTTAGCCGAATCCAAATAACGTCTACGGGGTCTTCCTCTGTTTCTCGGTCCATCTGCTTCGGCATACAAAATCTTCTTTGGCAAACGCAACTCACCCATACGTTGGACATGTCCAAACCATCTCAGTCTCGACATTCTTGCAACTTCATCCACCGACACAACATTCAAATCATCTCGAATTCTCTCATTTCTCATACGATTTTCCCATTGGTCTCTGCGCGATACTCCAGAAATCATTCGTAAAACTTTCATATCAGCCACTTCCAATCCATGGATTAAATTTTGAGAATCTACCCAGCTCTCGCTTCCGTAAATGATAGTAGGTCTGAAGATTGACTGATGAATCAACAATTTCGTCTCCCTACTCAACTCACGTTTATTGAAAACGTGTGATCTAAGCTGTGCTACTACCTTATTTCCATTCATTCTACGTTGTTCAAACTCTTTTTCAAACTTGCCATCTTTAGAGAAGATGCAACCCAAGTACTTGAATTGTGGAACTTGTTCAAGCAAGTTACCATTCATTTCACACTGGACAGTTTTACGAGTTTTTCCCACATGCATAACCTGGGTTTTTGAACTGCTAATGGTCATTCCAAAGTCTGTACAAGCCGCTTGTAAGTCTCTGACACTATTCTGTAGCTCCTGTTCCGAACTACCGAAAAGTACCAAATCATCTGCGTATGCTAAAGCAGAAATTAAGTTACCCCCCCAAAGCTACGTTACCCCTTAGGTTTGCTGATTTGATCAGCTTATCCATATAAATAATAAACAGAAGCGGTGAAATTGTACAGCCCTGTCTAAGACCATTACGCACATCAAACCATTCGCTCAAATCACCATCCACCCTAACTGATGCTTTACTGTTTGCGTACAAACTTTTAATTGCCCTAACAAGAGACCCATTTATTCCATATTCGGCTAAGACCGACCACAACTTAGATCTTGGAATACAATCATAGGCTTTCTGCAAGTCAACGAAACACAAAAACAAATCCTTATTTTTCTCATGGAATTTCTCTAGTAGCTGTCTCAGAACAAAGATTTGGTCTTGGCAACCCCGCATAGGGCGGAATCCCGATTGATTTTCATCCAGAAACTGTTCAACAATAGCTCTGGTTCGTTTTTCCAAAATTGAACTATAAACTTTTCCGACAACGCTCAACAGCGAAATTCCACGATAATTATTGCAGTCTTTACTACTGCCTTTCTTATGAAGAGGAGAAATGACTCCAAAGGAACAACAGAAGAGCCCCAAGCGAGATTAAAAATACGATATAACCATTTAACTCCAACTACTCCACTACTCAAAAGGAATTCGTTGCGAACTTCGTCCACGCCTGCTGCTTTGCCCCATTTTAACTTCGAAATAGCTGCTTGAATTTCACCCATACTGATCTCCTCTGACTCAAACCCATCGATGATATTTTCTTCCAAATCTCCATTTTGTCCAATAGCTCCATTGTCAATATTCAGCAAATCATCGAAATATTCTTTCCTACGATTGAGTACATTCCTTTTGCCGATCATTAAACTGGCCATTCTGTCCAAAACTGCTCCAGGTGCTTGCTTTTTACCTCCGTTTCTGATGTTCTTCACTTTTGTCCAGAATACTTTGTTCCGCTGCTGTCCAGCTTCCTCTAAATCCTGTCCAAATTTCACCCAATGTCCCTCTTTTGCTTCCTTGACCATTCACTTTATGATATCGCGTTGTTCCTTGTATGAAGTCCAGTTATCCTCAGTCCTATTCTGCATCCAGTGAATCCATTTTACCCTCTTCTCCTTAACGGCAGCCTTGATAACATCATTCCACCAGTCCGTCTTCTTTCTGTCATTCTTAATTCTAACGAACCCCAAACACTCTCTGGCAGCCCCCAGAAAAGTGTTCTTAAAAAGACTCCACTCTGTTTCAATATCTGACACTATATTATCATTCAAATCCGAAAATTTTGCTTCTAAAATGTCAACAAACTCACGGGCCACATTCTCATCTTTCAAACGATTCACACGTAAAATGTTGGATGGCTTCCGATAACTATTTATCCGGCTCTTGACTATACATAATTTACTGGCTACCAAATAGTGATCAGAATCCATACCAAAACTTCTATTCACTCTCGTATTCATAACCGACTTACGCAAGCACTCCTCAATAATTACATAATCCAAAAGAGATTTCTGATTCTGGCCAGGGTTTTCCCACGAATATGTATGAATTTTCTTATGCTTGAAGAAAGTATTAGAAATAATCAAACCCGAACTCTGGCAAAAATCCAATAATCTCTTTCCATTATTGTTGGCAGGCGAATCTTCACCAAACTTTCCCAGAATATTAGCAAAATTTGGATCATTTCGACCCACTCTAGCGTTCAAGTCACCCATAAGAATGACTTTTTCACTGCCTCTGCGATAGATTACATCATTCAGATCACTGTAAAAATCGTCTAGTCGTTCCGAAACTGCACCTTCACACGGTGAATAAACGCTCACGAATCTATAAATATCTCCCGAAATTTTGACCGAAATCCACATCAATCTTTCATTGACGAATCTATGGCAGTTAATCGATGATTCCAAATTCTTGTGAATCAAAAATCCTACGCCCCAATTAGCTCTACCTCTAGCAACACCTGACAAAAATACTTGATAATTCTCTAATGAATCTTCAATCTGACCTTTCACTCGCACATCACTCAAAGCTACAACATCCAAACCAAAATCATTCGCTCTCTCTACCAATTCAAACTTCTTCGACTCAAAACCTCCTCTCAAATTCAAAGTTCCAATATTCAAAGCGGTCTTCAACTGTGGAGCTCCGGTCAGGTCCCGGGGAGGAGGTCCCGGGGAGGAGGGGGTCCCGGGAAGGACGAGCTCCGTAGCCTTCCCTCGTCCGAGGTCCATCATTTCAATTTCGAGCGAGTTAAAGGGTTTAAGGTGAGGGGCGTGCTAAGCCACACTGCACCCGAGACAATCACTCGTGAACGTCGAAACGAAACTGCCATGGAAATGGTTAATTCTAAATCGCTTACAAAACTAATCACTTCAATATTAAATTATTTCAAAAAATTAAGTTACGTGGTCGGCCAAAAATTAGCTACGAGAAAAAGGAACGAACTCACCAAATAATAATAAGAAATGATGAAAGTGATGACAATGTACCGCTGTTTCAAACAAAATATTCCCGTTATGCGCGATAACAAACAAATAATTTAACCCTCCTAGGTATAGTAACGGTCTATTAGACCGAAAACTTAAAAAAAATATCATAAAATGGAAACGCGTCGACCGATTGGCATCAAATTTTCGCCTTTTCACGAGAATAATGGATTAATATTGAAAATAACATTTAAAATCCTGAAACTGTTCTGTAAAAAAAAAAAAATCCAGAAAGACGAAAATCCTAACTTGATCGTATAGTTACGGTCTCTTAGACCGTCCATACAAAATGTATGGGAAACACATAATCAAGCATTTTCACAAATTAAGTTGATGAAAATTTATGATATCCGTTTAATAAAAATGAAAAACTAAATTGGAAAACGAGAAGATAGGTTGAAATTCTCAAGAAAAATCAATTTGAATCTTGTTTATCGCGTACATAATATTATTATTTCAACAAAATGTCTGTCAGAGAAAAATCGATCTGAAGTCTACAATAGCACAAAAGGCGGTGTGGATGTTTTGGATCAAACTAGGGATCAAATGTGCCATTCAAACTCATGTCAACTTGGAACCAATCGATGGCCATTTCCATTCTTCATGAATCTCATCAACGTATGTGGTGTTGCAGCATTTGTTCTTTACAACACAAGTCACGATATCACGCATGAACAGTATGCATTTCAACGCAAGACATTTTTGATCGAATTGTACGTAGGCGACTATTTAAGTTTCTTCAATATGTATGTTTTAGTATTGCCCGATGCAAACTATTGTCATATTCCTTAAGTTTAACATTTTGTAGCATAAACGTTCTCAGAACGTTTTGTCA